AGTTTCTTGTGCGTTTTGATTAATGCTACATGTTCTAAACGTTGTACTTTAAGAATTGTTTTTCACACTGGCTCACTACTCTAGAAGGAATTTGATTCTTAAGTGAGTTAGTTCAGGCTTTCGTAAGTGCCATTTTTGAGCTGTAGTCTTACACTTCACCTCATTTCGGGAATTCGCTGTATGCTTGAAAACTCTTATCTTTATCATACGAAATTATTGGAATGTATGGGTTGTATGCTTCGAGTTCAGTCTAATGTCAATTACACGCCATTTCGAAGGATACACACTACACATTCTTTATATATGGTGCTGCCAGAACAGCACGAAAATTTTTTTATGAGAAGTCATATTTGCTCTTATTACAGGATGAGAGGGTGCCGCTGACGTCCTGCGTAGTCTACCCTGGACCCAGCCTAGAGCAACCCTACTTCCTGAACCTCCACATGGACAACCGAAAAATCTTCCGTGTCAGTAATGATGAAGAAGGAAGGAGTGACAGCACTGATGAGTTGATTTTTTTTAATTTTCAACATTGTCTACGGCCGCAAGGCCTTTAACAACCACCGTGATTGAGCGGCTTTTTCTCGGCGTGAGTTTGGAGTTTATCAAAGAAGTTGTTCAGGCAGTACGACGCTGAAAATTTTAGTGTCACAATGCCTGAACAACTTTTTCTAGTGTGGTCATGGTAGATTAACAAATATTGTTATTTGTGTAAGTTATTTTGCTTAAATATAGCTGGACCATTCCATGCAAAACGTCCCAGCCACTTTGGCGACCGTCTGAATTGTATTTGAAAAAAAAAAATGTGCTGACTTACTGCGTTGAAAACGGTGAACTGCTAGAATACTTCAGCGAGAAAAAAGTTTTGTTCATGTGGCTGGCTTATAACTTCCTGGCATAATGCCGTCTGTGTGCTGTTTGTGGAAAATTTTGTTTTAAAACTACCGCTTATTTTTTCTAAAGCAAATTCGGTCTACCTGTTAAGTAAATGTGCTTCTGTAAGGTATTTGAAGCTCAGTAATAATAATGCAATTTTTTTGTCACATTCGCTTCCAAGAATAAAGCCAAAATGTGTTATGTTTGCATTTTGTATTGCAATATTGCACTTTGTATGAATATCTGAGCAGTGAATACTTACTCCACAGAAGGTATATTCTGAGGAAAAAATATCTTTATACCTCTCAAGCTGCTGAAATATACAAGAAAATATCACGAATTCCACAAAATCGTGATTTTTGTCCATATTGAGATGCAATTTGCTCCATGTTGTGATACAATGAAAACTCATCATTATACCTAAACTGTAAGAAAATGAAATTCTTTTCTGTAATAAAAATCTTATCGCAAAAAGGACAGGAAAGAGCACTGTCAACTGAATTTTATTGAAGGTGCTACGAGCGTTTTTATACTGAGCACAAGACCAGGGCTCATCTGCAACAACACATGTGTGACCATGACAAAATAATTTTAACCGAGAAAAGAATACTCTTTTTCGGAAAAGATAAGTGAAGGTGTACTGATGCATTGATCCTTGGCCTTCCTGATAAAGAGTTCTAAAATCTCTCATTTTTCTGCTTGCTTTTTTTTTCAAAGACCGTGTTTTATGAAACCTAGGACTACACTTGCATTCTTTACGGTGTCCGGCCATGAGACTACTATAGCCCTTCTTAACATTTGAAGCATGCTGTCTTGCTTGATCATTGAAGCATTGCCCAGTTTGTCCTATGTTTACTTTTCCACGTGTTAGCAGTATCTCATACACATTAGATTGGCATTCAGTAAACCTATTCTAGTGACGATTGGTGCAAGATTGACTATTCCTGTTGCTGTAAGTACATGCACTTTTGAAAGCTTGCAAGGGGTGGAAAACAACAATGTCATATCTGCTGGCTCTTTTCCTAAAATTGTGAGACACCTTATGTACGTAGTACCATGTGACATGCAAAGGTGATTGGTCATTCTCTTTTTCTTTTGGTCCTGTTTCCTTTAACTTTACTTTCTGCAGGAGGGTTTCGCAAACAAGTGTGATGATGCTGTTGGGGTATTGGCTGGTGCTATCAGCCCAGGAGTGCTAAGAATGTTCGGCCTTTTGATAGTGGGCATTCACATTCAAAATTAATAGAAAGAGGAATTGATACATGTATTCAGGCCACCCTTCAGAAGTCATGTTAGCACAAGGGTGAGGTCAGGCTTAAAAACCAGATTAAAAGACTAAAAGATGCTGGGTATCCCAACAGAATCTTCACACCCGTTTGCGAAACCCTCCTGCAGAAGGTAAAGTTAAAGAAGACAGGACCAACAAAAAACAATGACCAAAATCTTTGCATGTTATACCACATCACGTGTCTCACAACTAGAAAAATAGCCAGCAGATATGATATTAGCGTGTTGTTTTCCACCCCTTGCAAGCTTTCAAAAGTGCGTGTACTAAACAGCAACAGGAATAGTCAATCTTGCCCCATTCGTCACGAGAATAGGTTTACTTAATGCCAATTTAACGTTTGTAGAAATATTTTTTATCAGGTAAACCAATGATCAGTGCATCACTACACGTTAACTTATCCTTTCCGAGAGGGAGTATTCTTTTCACAGTTAAAATTATTTTGTAGTGCTCACACGTGTCGTCGCGCATGAACACGGTTCTTGTACTCCGTATAAAAGCGCTCGTAGCACATTCATTAAATTCAGTTGACAGTCTGCGCTCTTTCCTGTCCTTTCTGTCTCTTCCTAAAGTTGTCGCGCTGTGACTAGCACACAACCACGATGAACCAACTCTCCCAAATTAAGCTCTAGTTACATAACACGTAGACCGAGTTTCGTATGGAAAGAAGGAGCGGTGCTTTTAAAATAAAATTTTTCACATACAACACCTAGACGGTTCCAGAAAGTTCAGAAGGCAGCCACGTGACCAAATATTTTTCCTCTCCTAAATATTCCAGAAGTTCACTATTTTCAATGCAGCACGACTTTTTTGAATACATTTGAGATGGTTGCCAAAATGGCTGGGACATTTGGCATAAAGTGACCCAGCTGTGTCATTAGCCATAATTATGCATTACCTCTTTTGTTTGTTGTGTGTCCTGACTCAGTTTTGTGTTCGTTTTTAGCATATTATGTTTCTGATCATTGTATTGGTTTCTTAAGTATTCGCTAAAGTTATATGTGCGAAAACCCGTATATGTTTGCATCTACATCATTTCTCATAACCAATTGTTATACATGCAGGAATACAAAGCTTAAACCACTGTGATTGTATACATTTGAAAACACTATCCATATATATTTTTGTGTGCATCACTTCTTGGGAACGATTGTGTACATGAAGACGTATATAGTGAAATCATGGTGATTGTATATATTTGAAAGAATCATAAGTATATATTTGCCTGTATTTCATTCCTATTAACCGATTGTGTACACGAAGGAGTATTAAACTGGAAACCACTGGGATTGTAGATACTTGAAAGAATTATAAAGATATATTAGCGTGTATTTCATTTGTAGTCTCTATGTACTTGAAGCAGTATACTAAACTGAAGCCAGTGTAATTGTATGTTGCAAAGAATTGTCAATAAAGTGAAACTGAAAAAATATGATTAACATTTGAGGTGTAGTGTACGTATACATGAACGTATATCTGGTGAAAAAGTTGTGTGGCAGAAGAAAAGTTTGTTTTATTTGCCTATTAAATAAACGCAATATGCAAGGGCAGCAAGGCTTCATTTTTTGTAACGTGCATTATGCATATACTGTGAAGTATATATAGATCCAGCACAAGTTCATACACGATTGTACGCGTTTATATTTTTGCCCACACGCAATGAATGGAGCTCGACAGGTGGTGCACCATCGATAATCAGGACCACTTTCTTCAAGTAGTGTTTAATCAGTGCATGCTGATATCTATTGGTGGCAGTATTCGCCACCCCTGCCATGGGCACTCAACACCCTTGGGCACCCTTCTCGCACCCTCCTCAGAGGGTGCTAAAAAAGTGATGGACATCGAAGGCACCCTTCCTTAAGGGTGTTTTTTAACACCCTACAGTTTTTTACATGTACACCCTATTCTAAGGGTGCATGGTAAAGCACCCTTTTTGGAAGGTGCTGAATTAACACCCTTAGGGTGTCGTCCACGGGACAAGCTCATTTACACCCTTCTGGGTGTAAAAATTTTTACTGTGCACGTCGCTGTTGGTATACATATACCACTAGTGCCGTCAAAGGAGCAGTGCATTAGCTTTCATGCATCAGTTCTTCTACCGCAGCCTGGAGAACATCAGTGTATTTGGACGGTCTTTTTGCTGAAAAATGACACTTGAAGCAATAACTTGACAAGACTTCTGGCTCAGGAGCGTAGGCAGACATTGTTTTCGGGGTCTGGGCACGTGCCCGACTACGCTACCGCTCGAGTTCTTTCTTGCAAATCGGAGACGGATGTGCTTCTACATGTAATTAGATCCGGTTCCCTGCGTTGACGTGCTCGTCGGTAGCAAGTGTGGAGAGGCCGCGCTTTGAAAGAGTGTCCGAGGAGCAGTACGCGATAGCCGATGCGGCAGTGGCACCGTCAGCTCAGCCGGTCATCCGCCTGCATAGCAGACAATAGTCTCGTGTTTTTTGTTACGTATGTGGTGGTTATTAGGCTCTCAGACACAGGCAAGTTCAAGGAAAAGAAAACATTTATTCAAAACACGATTCGAGCAAAAATACACTAACTTTCAATACGTGGCCGAACTGTACGATATGGATACGTTCCCTCTGATCCTCAGTCCTTACAGTCCCATAGCATACGCGTATCTAGACATGCCCTGACTTATTCTGGGACTATCGTTCGTAGACGACATTCACGGCACCGACGATCGCGAAGTCGACGCACGCTTGAAGCAGGAAAGAGAGAGAGAGGCGTGCTGACTCGTACAGCTCAGGAGCACATCGAAGCACGATGGCTCCGCGTATACAGCCAAGACCACGCCGCAGTCGGTATTGGCGGATGGAGAACCTACACGTGGTGCCAAGACCACGCCCTGAGCATGCGGTTGGGCTGGCCTCCAGGAGACGCAGCACCGTGGACCGACTCTGTAGCTGGTTGCTCTCGAACACCATCTGGCCCACGATCAGCAGACCGTCCTGGACCTATCGCACGTTCACCATAGAAACGCGCCGCAACGCTCGGTCTGGAAACCATCCGTTCACCACAGGAAACGTCAGGCTCGTCCCTACTGGTCCGATGGCCTAAACGTGGCAACGCCCGATCTGCCAGTAGACGTTCCAACGCTCACGCGCCTGACGCTCGCCTTTCGCGCGCACACTTCGTCGTCTTCGTTTGTGTCACTACTTTCGGTTCGCACTTTCAGTTTCGGTTTTCTTTGAGGTCTCTTACTACGGCTACAAATTCTATTTGATTCTGGACTTGGGCATGCTAGGGAAGCTAGCCCCCCTAAAAAGACTGAGGGTGAAAAGAAAACAAATCAAAGGTGACAAGGACTCTTTTAACGTTACAAAGACAATAATATTTGACATGCTTATTCATTTTTGAGGCCACGGTTCTGCCTGAAAATTGAACAGTTCTTTCATATGGAGACCTCGTGGTTTTCCTAATTACGGCACATGCAGCGGAACGTACACGAAACGCAGCCTCACGTTTCATGAGCCACCTCCTATACTTTGCCTTCAAAGCACAAGTATAAGGACGTTACGCATTGATAAACTCTTAAGGCGTATCTCTTCTGTAAACTTGTTTTCTTGATTCCACTATTGCCTCAATCATCGCTACCTACTACAGGTCGCATAAGTGTAATTTTAAAATATATACGTGACTGTAGCAGAAATATCTTTACGTTCAGCTTCTTCTTAAGAAAAGGCAGTAAGGTAGTAACTCACTTTTTTGGTGATGTCGCCCAAGCCCGGTACATGCATTGTAGTAAAAGAAGCTTGCAAAGTAGACCAATGGTACTCCAAGCCAGCATCGGTAGAAGGGCATCTATATTGTTCGCCGAGTCCTTTAGGATACTGCTGGCGTGAATTGCTTCAACGTGAGAGTGACTGAGAAAAAAAAGACATTGATGGAGGCCTCCGGCCTTTGTGATTGTGCCCTTGGACGCCCGCTGCATGTAGTGAATAAAATAAACTGTGCTTGCTGGCAGCAGTGTAGCATGGCGTGGTACTAATTTGTGTCAGCGCTATCGATGCTTGCACCAATGGAGCAAAACAATACGCGAAACCCCCGTCGATGTGTGTCGAAGTCCACACCTGCGCACCTCAACTTTCAACTGCAAAATAATCTACATATTTATGTTTAAGATGCTGCAATTGAAACCTTTTGATCTCAATAATGCAATGCTCACTTTTGGATTGTTATTCGATTCACAAACTGTTTCCGGTTGTGAATGACGATTTTCGGACACTTAACATGGGGCTAATACGGAAGGATGTGAAGGCATGTTTCGAATCCGTGATCCCCAAAAAACCGTGGTTTCATTACAGAAATGAAAAATTTTATTTTGTCATTGCGGTTATAGTACTTGATAGAATTTGTAATTGCTGTCCTGCCACCAGATTTAGGGACACCGTAGAGCGTGATTGCAGCAAAAACTTTGGAAACAAACTGAGACATAAATCCTGTCCTCCTCCACAGCATGTATAGACTTACAGTCACCACACTGAAAGTTTGTTGATATAAAGTTTTGATCATTACTTATTAGACAAAAACTCTGTGTATGTGAGATAGAGAGAAAGGAAAGGCTGGGAGGTGAACCATATTGTCACCGGTGGGCTACCCTTCATGGGCGAGGGGGAATTTGAATAAAAAATAGAGAATAAAGTAGTAAAGAGGGCACAAATGCCACGCGGAACCGCATATCAACGTGTGTTTAGAAAAAGTACTCTCCCATAGTAGAGTACTTGGTACTCCACTATGGGAGAGCGTATAGCCATCCCATGGACTTCATAGTTTTCGCAACGTACAGAGGGCGCCTTTAGTTCTCCGCACGCACTCAGCCAGTTACAACCGGTAAGTGATTGAGACCAGTTCCTCCACGGTTATCTAAAACTCATGGTAGTCGAATCGTTTAAGCCACTTCAGTCGCAAAGTTATAATGCAGGTGCCGGTGCTGTAACTGCTCAGGAGTTAAGCGTATACGCTAGAGTTACATGGCTCTCTCGGGGACGGGACCTGAATTCAACAGCTTGTACAACACGACTAGAAAGGGAGAGATAAACAAAGAGAAGAAGGAAATGCAGGTAGTTCGTCTTAACTCGCGCACAGTAAAGCCCGAGTGCGTCGCCGCTCGCAGTCCCTGTCAACCGACACATCTAGCTTCCAGATGCTCAGCTTCATACTCGGGAGTACGCACTTTATTAGGATGCGCCATGAACGTGTTGACACGATAGGGCGCAGTCAGGCTATCCACTATAGAGCGAAGTTTGTGTGTAATGACTTCGTTGCTGGGCGAGGCTTTGATACTGCACATTCGTGGCTTCACCAGGTGCATGGGGCCTTATTTGTTCGATAGATCACGCGGTGCATGCTTCCTCTTTCTATTTTTTCTCTTTTATTGTGATCTGTCTTTGTTTTTCTTCGTGCATTTCTCTGTCTTGGTTTCGCTAATTTTTCCTGTGCTAGGCTTCACTCTTTGTCCTCCCCTTTCCTTCCTCCTCACTATTAACGTTTCTCCTGCTCATGCACACTTTCTTCTCGCATTCCTGTGTTAGAAGAGTGGCTGGGACGCTCACCTTCACATCATTGGCACACATGCTCGAGTTTAAATTCTATCTCGTGAAGAATATTGTTACGAGGGGGAATGACACAAAACGGGCGTATTATTTACAATATTCACAATCCACAGCAGTGCGACCAAAATAAACAAAGATGGGGAGAGCAGGCACATCTAGTCCTTCACTTCTTCGTCCTCTAGGTGGGCAGCACATAACAATATTTTTTTCGGCAATAATTCTTAGGGGCAAAGCTCCGTATGGGCAGTTCGTCCGAATATAGCATTCGGTTTACCACGTAAAGTTTTGGAAGAACTAACTGCGTGTTTGGGACACAACTATGACAATCACATTACATCGGTGAATTCAGAACATATTGAATTATTACTACTTGTCCTATGAACATTGTTTTCGCTTCCCACGTCATTCCAAAAGGTTCACGCACACAACTGAACCTCTCCACGTCTATCTGAATCAACTGGACATGCAAGCACTTGACGGTGAAAACATGTCCAGTTAGCGCACGTGTTTGCCGAAAGGCTCACCAAAAGTATTTGAAGCACTGTACTGGTGCAACTTTGAGCAATATAGAAAAAAAATCTCATTATTGACTCATTTCTTACAGCGCGACAATGGGTATTATTCATATGTCTCAGGAAGATAGTCTTAGCCAGTTTTGAAAAGTACTCCAGCACGCATTGCAGCAAACGAAATGTTGCACAATGAAACGCTCTTTCCAAAAGTATATGTTGTGGTGCAACAAAGGCATTTTTGAATGAATTAAAATGTGAGAAGTGTGTAATTTTAGAATGCAAGCTGGTGAACAGCACGATAAAAACACTATATGCGCGAAAAAGTTCGAAACAAAGAAATTTAAGAATAAACATTTTGAAGATAAATGACGCAGGAAAGGTATAAAAAATAATACATATACAAAATACTTCCATTTCCACAGACAAAAAAAAAAACCGTAGCGTACTTCTAAAAAGTTTCACGCTGCTCCATAGTCAGGGCCAAGATGTATTGCAGTGGCCTTCTTCTCGGGAGGAGAAGCTCTGCAGCCGGCGTCAGCAAACCGCACCACAGTGACGTGTGGACTTTGCACGTAATAGCAGCAGCTATAGGAGTGTGTACGAAGGTCAGCAGCTACGCACCCACTTGCGGTGTAGGAGACAACTTGAGGCTGTAAAAAAACAAACCGAATGAAAGGCTGCGTATGTCTCAGGCTGACGTGAAACATAATCGCCATGGAGCTTGAAGCTGAGGTGGTGTCATCATCGGACTCTCGTTCTCATCCCATTCAGGCTCGGTTGCAAGACAGTTTTGAGGGGTGCGTGTTTTTTGCTGCACAGGTGCGCACCTACGCACGTCGGACGACGGCACCATATGAACGACTAGGGACACTAGTTGCGGAAATTTGCCTGATATAACGATACAAGGGAAACCAAAGCTGCTGGAATCTGGCTGAGCAGGCCGCCTCCACACTTTATACATGCGTTGGATGTTCGCGAATATTTTTTTTTCGTAAAACAAATTTTCTCTGACTCCTGGCAACAACTCTCTTTCGACTAGCTGGCATAAATGTCTGGCAATTATTACTGCTCAACATGGTCAGACTGCAAAGCTTACGCTTTAATTTGATATTTGAATTGCAAAGGTTCTTTTGACTACAAAACTTTGATATTAATGTAGCATAACCACGAGGACCACGTGCTTCTGTCAAGTTCGCCAGCCAAGTGCAGTTTCCCAACAACACTTGCACCGTGGTTCGCCCAAAGGTCAGTAAAAATCATTATTGTGCCAAAACGGGCCAATTCAAATTGAGTCTAAAAGTCGAGTGCCTGTACTACCGACTAGGAAGTACTGGTTGCACGAGAAACAAATTCAAAATGCTAAAATCGATGATCGAGAGCATGGATCACCGGTGATCAATTTGAATAGACAAGGGTAGCGAAACAGTCAATTAGTCAATGTTAGGGAAAACATTACATCTTCTCCCGCTAAATGTGTAGATGCGAAGCGGCGGCGTTGACCGTAGCACTCGTCGCGGGGGTGCGCAGGAGAGAAACCTGGGGAAAATCAAAGCACGCGCTGATGGACCGGTGTTTTCTACTGGAACATGCCAACTGCTGCTAATGAGCAATGAGAGAGAGAAGACCCCGATGAAATACAGGGACCCACAGCGCGCTTCTATTGTTAGCGCGCACGCTACGAATTTTTATTGTTCAACAATGAACAGGAGATATATCCCACTGGTACTATATTGGATGTCAAGATACAGTGCTCATAGATTCGAGGTGGTCAGTGAACAGTTGTGCAAGTCGAGCAGTTAGTTGGTTGTTTCAATCAATAAACTAGCTAGCAGACGCTGCTGCGCCGGCGATGCGAGGCGAGGGAGGGGCTGAGCGTAGGAGAGGAGGGAAGAAAGCGCATCATAAAGTTTCCTAAATATTACACTAAGGGGAACTCTGGCGCTATTGTCTGTGGTAGCTGCAACGTACGGTGCTTCAGCGAGCATGGCAATTATGGGTAGTACACGGATATGTCTATGTTCGTACTTCTGGCTCCGTGTGTGTTCGTGTGGCTTGAAGCTGTTTTCTCACGAAACAAATATTAGAAAATCGTTCAGCGGTTGCGCTTCACCATCTTATTCTTTTAGACTTACATTTCTAAATCAGGTCACGAAGTTCAAAGGGTTGAATCTTTCTTTCAAAACAAAACCGCAAGCACAGCAATAAACGAAGCCACATGTACGATTCGCCGCCCGCAAGTTAGGAAGACTAGGCTAATGTGTGTACTACCCATCATTCCCTTGGCCGCTGAACTGATCGCAGTGCCAGAGTCCCCTCTAGTTAATTTTAGAAAACTCTATGGCACGCATGCGCTCTGGCTGCTAAACACCGTGGGGAGAGATGCCTAGAAAAAAGAGAGGGGGGAGTGAGCGTAGCAGACGATGCTTGCATTGGCGTTGCGAGGCGAAAGGAGGGGCCCCGTCACGGTGGTATAGTGGCTAAGGTACTCGGCTGCTGACTCGCAGTCGTGGGATCAAATCCCGGCTGGGGCGGCTGCATTTCCGATGGAAGAGGAAAGGTTGTAGGCCCGTGTACTCAGATTTGGGTGCACCTTAAAGAACCTCAGGTGGTCGAAATCTCCGGAGCCCTTGCACTACGGCGTCTTTCATAATGATATGATGGCTTTGCGACATTAAACCCCACAAATCAATCAGGCGAGAGGAAGGGAAGGGCAAAAATGTACAATGGGGGTGTACATGCCGCGGAGACAGATGCTTAGAGGATAAAACGGAAAAGCGAGCGTACTTTAGCAGCCGATGCCGGCGTTGACGTTGCGATGCTAGAAAGGGGGGAGGACAGGTAGGAGAGGAGAGGGAGGCGTCACGCATGCGCAATGGGTGTGTAAACGCCGCCTGGAGGGATGCCTAGACAGAGAGAGGGGAAGCGAGCTGGGAGAAGAGAGATGGGGGAGGGGAGGCGTAATGCACCATAAAGGTGGTCACGCCACACACCGGATAGAGCTCGACCTTAAAGAGCTTCGCATATAAAAAACTGACAGAAGACCTGTCCCCTCCGTCACAGAAGGACGCCAGAATGACTCTGAAAATCCACTTACTGAGGAATACGCAGAAATATTGACATCTGGAGTGCTCAGTTTTGTGACTCCTTATGAGATGACGAAAGCTACTTCTTGTGCGATAATGAGGTATGAAAGAAGAGGATTCGCTTACTGGTTTGCACCCAACAATACATCATCATCATCATCATCATCATCATCTGCATCAGCCTGACTACGTCAACTGCAGGACAAAGGCCTTTCTTATGTTCCACCATTCAACTCGGTCCTGTGCTTGCTGCTGCCAATTTATACCCGCAAACTTCCTAATCTCATCTACCTACCTAACCTTCTGTCTCCCCCTAACCCGTTTGCCTTCTCTAGCACGGGTTACATGAACAATCAGTATATCAGATAAGGCATGACTACCACGAAGCGCTCGCGGAAGGTCACGATATTGTATTTCAGTGGTTGTCGAGTCATTGCGGAATCGTCAGCAATGACCGCGCGGATCAAGCTGCTCGATCGGCTCATGACCAAGACCAGTGCACGCCCATACCACTCTTCAGTACGGACGCTGCAAGGCTACTACAATCACTTGCTCGCCGTATATCTCTCCTACAATGGAATACGCAGGGTTTCTCCAACACGCACCTGTATTAGATCGACCCAAACTTGCAACTTCGTTTGCCATCCGGGCTCCCACGATGCGCTGAAACTTTACTGTGTCGCATGAGGTTGGGCGTGGAATTTACGAATTCATACTCTCGTCTTTTTGGAATGGCGAGCACTTCGGCATGCAACATCTGCGCCTGCGAGGAAACGCTTGAGCACAATCTATGTCATTGCCCGGCATACCAGACCGAACGACGTATTATGGAAGCCAAGCTCTGTCAGCTGGATTCACGGCCGCTTACAGAAGAGAAGATCCTGGGACCTTGGCCGACGGCTTCCCATACGCGCAAAGCCACGAAAGCCCTCTTGTTCTTTTTAAGGACCCCCAAACTTCACGACCGCTTGTGAAAGAACTGTGCGAGGCCGTGCTGTGTAGTCTCGAGCTGACTATTTATGCTTCTCTTTCTTACTCTTCTTTTCTGTCTGTTTCCGTTCTATTATTCTCATTCCCCCCCCCCAAGTGTAGGGTAGCCAACCGAGCCAAGCTTGGTTAACCTCCCTGCCTTTCCTCTCTATTTATCTCTCTCTCTCTCTCTCTCTCTCTCTAGGAATCCAGTTAGTTACCCTTTGCACCAGCGGTTATCCCTTTTACGTGCTACATGCCCGGCCTATGCCCATTTTCTCTTCTTGATTTCAACTATGTTATCCTTAACCCCGGTTTGTTCCCTAATCCACTCTGCTCTCTTCTTGTCATTTAAGGCTACACCTATCATTTTCCTTTTGATTGCTCGCTGCGTCGTGCTTAATTTAAGCTGAACACTGCATGTAAGTCTTCTGGTTTCTGCTCCTTAGCTAAGTACCGGCAAGATGCAGCTGTTATATACCTTCCTCTTGAGGTATAGTGGCAATCTACCTGTCATGATTTGAGAGTGCTTGCCTAATGTGCTGCACCCTATTCTTATTAAAGACGATAGCCTTTTTTGGGGACCTTCGACGCAAAAATTTTGGTCTGCCTGCCTGCCTGCCTGCCTGCCTGCCTGTCTGTCTGTCTGTCTGTCTGTCTGTCTGTCTGTCTGTCTGTCTGTCTGTCTGTCTGTCTGTCTGTACACTTGTCTGTTTGTCCGCTCTTAACAGCATCGGGTATTTGAAACGGCTGACCCAATCCGCAGCGCCCACCTATGTTGCTCAAGGTTCAGCGTTCATACTTGTGCAATTGTCGATTAAAAAGCAATTATAGCGCGTGTCTGGGGCACCATAGCAACACGTATATATTCTGCATGTACGCCTTTTATTAGAATAGGCATACATACGTAATTTAAGGACCGTAGCGCTTATCACGCTGCGCTGACCATGCAACGCTTGCATGGAAAGGCGAGTGCTTCCAACGCTTTGCTAGAACGAGACGGTGGTGGCACATACCCGTCGCCTTGCATTCTACAGCTTATCACCTCTGAGGCGGCCGCGGACAGTCGTCTCAGAAACACTTGCTTTGTTAAAAAAAGCTGCCAGATGGCGCTCATGTCTCACGTGCGACGTGACTTGATGCGCTCGTTTCGCCTCTGCTGCACGCTCGAGGCACTCTAACACAGTGCCTCCAGAATGCCATTCTGCGATTTTCTTGAGCAGAACATTAAATAAATGTTTTGTTCACTCTCTCCAGACGCAAGACTATCGTCTTTCGACGACACTTGCAGATTAAATGCAGATATGAGGGCCATTTTTTGTTCTAGTTACTTTATACTCGTGGTTCGGCTCCGCGATTATTACCTGTTCTAAGTAGATATAGTCTTTTACAGCTTCAAGTGCTATATTACATATCTCGAAAAGCTGCTCTCTTCCGAGGTTGTTGTGCATTACTTTCTTTTTCTGCAGATTAATTTTAAGACCTACCTTTATGCTCTCCTAGGTCTAACTCGGTAATCATGAGTGCCAATTCGTCCCTTGAGTTACTCAGCAATACAATGTCATCGGTAAGCGCAGGTTACTACGGTACTCTCCATTAACTCTTATCCCTAACTGTTCCCATTCTAGGCCTCTGAATACTTCCGTAAGCACGTGGTAAATAGCATTGATGAGATTGGATCTCCCTGCCTTACACCCTTCTTGATTAGTATTCTGTTGCTTTCTTTATGAAGAATTATAGTAGCAGTTGATCTCCTGTATATTTCTTCCAGGATGTTTATATATGCTTTGTCGACGCCCTGATTCTACAGTTTCTGCATGACTGTTGATATTTCAACTGAATCAAACGCCTTCTCGTAATCTATGAAGGCTATGTATAGTGGTTGGCTATAATCTGAGCATTTTTATTACCTGATTGATATAATGAATGTGATCGATTGTTGAGTAACCTGTTCTAAATCCTGCTTGTTCCTTTGGTTGATTGAATTCTAATGTTTTTTTTTTACTCTGTTAGCAATTAACTTTGTAAATAGCTTGTATATTACAGAGAGCAAGCTGAACCGCCTGTAATTTTTCAAGTCCTTGTCATCTCCTTTCTTATGTATTATATTCACCAATACATATTCATGCGCAAAGACCAAAGCATAGCTGCAAGATTTCTCTCTTGACACCAGATCTGGCATCCCACGCACAGTAATCCAGGAAGCGTCTGACGTACACCGTCTTACCCCTAATTAATGACACAGTCGTACCTCCCACAACCATAAAGTAGTCAAGGGAGGCGTGACTCTCCAAATAGACTTAGGAAGCCAGATGATGACCTGTGACCAAAACCAGCGAGCTGCAACGTCCAGTGCGTACCTGCACGAAGGACTTCACCCATAGTAACCAAAACGCCCTAATAAAGACGATACTCTGGGGACCTTCGACGCTAAAGTTTTTCATTGAAGTTCTTTCTTTCTAGCAAAAAAATTAGGGTCGTGACATGCTCCTGTTCATTGTTAGGAGAGCCAGCATGGGTCATAGGCCCATATTTCACTTTACTTGCTTATTAAAATTGTTCTTGAAGACAACATTAACCCACATAAAAGACGTTTCTGTCTCACAATAATACAATAAACTGAAACCTCCCTATTCTTTTTCTCTCCGCTTTATTCATCACAACTGACAAGCCGACAGTACACGATAATCCTTCCTATATATCAAATAGTTAGAGAGAATTTGCATGCTATGCCTTTATTTCTGTTGCTTTGTTTTTTGTTTTGAATAAAGGCCACAAAGAAAAAGTAAATTGATGCATGGTATTTTTCTCAACCTTCTGCTGTAATTGTCGACATTTAAAAAATGTTCAGCGCACTTGATGTGTTTTTATTATAGTATCTTCAAACCTTCTCCACCGCCTCCCCAAATGAATAGCCTTTAGTTTCAGTTTTTATTAGGTTCTAATTATTAAAACACAAAATTGACCGCCGGTGGGTTCAATATTAGTGAGGCAAAAAGGAAGAAACGAAAAAAATCACACTTGATGAAATCACCATATGAACGTCATCATGTTTTTCCAAATCGCTTAATTTCTGACTTCAGTATGTTGTGGCTATGACCCCAACGTGATGACGTCTTCACACGACATCGTGGCTTGGTCAAACTTGGGCCAATCACAGAGGCAGTGCAAAGTCAGGTGAAAGGCAGAAAGCTTCCCAGGCCACCAATCCTTGAGGTCTTGTGAAACCGCGTTATGTTGAAAAAGCTTTCGAAGGAGGGCGGAAAAGAAACAATACACTGAACTCAGAAGAAAGAGAAGTTGGCTTTCGCCTTCGATTCATCTTTGGCGATTGCGCAAGGGACCCCATTGATGAATGAAGAAATGAAAAACTTTGTTGAGGTCGTGAAGGATTCCACCCTGTTTGAGTTTTTATTTACTCGAGCATCACCAAATCCTTGCAAGGGTGACGACCCAACCTAGGCGAGCTCCAGTTCACCCTGGACACTGATGTACGCCTGGCTGGAATACAGGGACCAGTAGGCGGTGTTGAATACGAGGAAGACAAACGGGAAGGCGACACGAGCGAAGCGGTCGATGCTGTCCGCCCGCTTGGCGTTCCTGTACAGCTCCTCGTACTCTTTGCTGTCGTAGTTCTCTGGATCTTCGGCCAGCTCCTCCTTTCGCGTCACAAGCTGGCAAAAGAGACATCATTACAAGCCTTCAGTCGTTCAATCATGCCAATAAAGCAGTGCATATTGTGATCACGCAACTACTTTGCATAGTCAGTTGAGAATGTTAGCATAAAAGAGTTTTTTTCTTGGGGAAATTAGAAGCAGTTAAACCGATGTGTGCAAGAGTGGTGGTTAGAAAATAAGCAAGGAAATTATAATATACTTTGTCTACGTCTTCGAAAGGGTAATTTTCGTAACATAAGAAGGAATGTTCAGAGAAGAAATAGGTAAGAGGGTAAATTATGTCAGTGAGGCCATGGCGTATCACATCGGCTACAATATATTACTGAGGTAAGTTTAGACAGTGGTTAGCCACACTTTGAATTGTCATACTGGTTCGAAAAACAGCCAGGACCAGTTAGAAAATCTTTCTTTGTGGTGTAACAAGTGTTCGCAGTTTGAGTGCATTTAAATATGAAAAAACGAAGTGATACGCATGAGAGTTTAATATCAGTTATTTGTATTATAGAGTCCGCCACACTGGTGCATTGGCTACGATGTCTGGCTCAAGTTATATCCCAGCCACAGCGGTCGCATTTCAGTGAATGTGAAATTCTCAAAGCCCGTGTTTTGGCGATGTAAGTGCGCGTTTGAGAACAGCACGCGGTGAAAATCGCCAGAGGACTTCATGACGGCGTGTTTCATAATCACATAGTTGTTTTGGGACGTAATATCCTGGCTGTACTACAACAACAACAACAACAACAACAACAACAACAACAACAACAACAACAACAACAACAACAACAACAACAACAACAACAACAACAACAACAACAACAACTACTACTACTACTACTACTACTACTACTACTACTACTACTACTACTACTACTACTACTACAACAACCACAACTACTACTACTACTACTATTACTACTACTACTACTACTACTACTACTACTACTACTACTACTACTACTAATGTAGAAGCATGTGGGAATGACTTCATGGCAATCACAAACGTGCGTATTAGGATAATACCGCAAAAATCGGAACACCTCTATTAAGCAGCGTGGGAACAATATTGCTGTTTAGTAGTGGCACTACACTAGGTATAGTGCCAGGCTTAGAGTAGCAGCCGTAGCAATGAACACAGTGGAAGAACAACGGCTTAAAGAGTTTACGTGGAGTTGCGGTAAAAATTTACTAAAACTTGCAGGGGTAGCAGTAGTAATGTAGTGCTGACTATATATATATATATATATATATATATATATATATATATATATATATTGTTAAGGCGTTTACTAGCCGGCAACGAGCGAGAATATAAAATGGCGACAGTCACAGCCAAGCACGGGCTCTCAGCGCGAACGGCGTCCTTGTTGGGTAGCCCCACTAGAAGGTACTCAAGAGTTCGACCCATTTCAGCGTTCGGAGGCTTTGCTACAATGACCCCGGGGTCGAAGAGGGAGCCGCCTGGCGACCAAAGAGCTTGTTACTATGAGCGGGTCATAGTAAGCCTTCAGGCGCTCCACGTTGACGATGTCTCGCCCACGGCGGCGCATGTCCGAAGATTGTTCAACTGGTTCGATCAGATAGTTGACGGGTGAGGTGCGCTCGATGACACGGTAGGGGCCTTCGTATTTGGGACGTAGCTTGGAAGAGAGGCCAGCTGCAGAGGTCAGGATCGAGAGCCATACAAGCGCACCAGGAAGGAACGTGGGCTCAGAAGTGGTGGAGCCATCACGAATACTCCTCTGCCGCTCTAGCTCTTGCGTCGTAAAAGTCTTGGCAAGCTCGCGACACTCTTCAGCAAGCCTCGCTGTCTCGGAAATCGGTGTACACTCAGTTGGATCCGGCGTGTACGGGAGTATCGTGCCCATGGTGTGCGACGGGTGCCTTCCGTACAGCAAGTAGAAAGGTGAAAAACCAGTCGTGCTCTGAGGGGCGGTGTTGTAGGCGTAGGTGACGAAGGGCAGTATATTATCCCAATTAGTGTGGTTGGCAGCGACGTACATAGAAAGCATGTCGCCGAGGGTGCGGTTAAAGCGTTCGGTGAGGCCATTCGTCTGTGGGTGGTAAGCAGTAGTTTTGCGGTGGACAGAATGGCACTCCGTCAGAATGGCTTCGACGACTTCCGACAAGAAGACACGGCCTCGATCGCTGAGAAGCTCTTGGGGTGGTCCGTGGCGCAGTATAAATCGATGCAGCAGGAAGGACGCAACATCGCGCGCAGTAGCCGCAGGGAGAGCGGCGGTTTCGGCGTATCGCGTTAAATGATCAACGGCAACGATGGCCCAGCGGTTACCAGCCGACGTCAGAGGAAGTGGTCCATACAAATCGATACCTACGCGCCCAAAGGGACGGTCAGGGCAAGGTAACGGTTGCAGACCGGCGTGCGACATGTGGGCTGACGGTTTACGGCGTTGGCAAGTGAGGCAAGAGCGAACGAACTGCTGCACATAGCGGTACATCCCGCGCCAGAAGTAGCGTTGTCGAATGCGATGGTAGGTCTTGTATACCCCAGAGTGCGCGCATTGCGGATCAGAATGGAAGGATTCACATATTTCTGACCGCAGACTGCGGGGTATCACGAGTAACCACTGCCGGCCGTCGGCGTCGTAATTGCGTCGGTGTAAAAGGCCGTCACGGATGGTGAAATGGCGAGCTTGACGACGCAAGGCACGCGTGGATGGCGTTGCGGATGAATCAGAGAGCATGTCGATGAGCGGGCCGATCCAATTATCCTTTCGCTGTTCGGTAGCGATGATGTCAACATCAATGGCAGAAACAGCAGCCGAGGATACTGAGCAGAGCACATCCCCTTCAGGCAGAGGGGAGCGCGAGAGGGTGTCGGCGTCAGCATGCTGGCGTCCGTTGCGGTACAGCACGCGGATGTCGTAGTCTTGTAAGCGAAGAGCCCAACGGGCGAGACGGCCTGAGGGATCCTTCAACGATGGAAGCCAGCATAGTGCATGATGGTCGGTGACGACATCGAATGGGCGACCATACAAATAAGGTCGAAACTTTGTAAGAGCCCAGACGATCGCCAGGCACTCTTTCTCCGTGACGGTGTAGTTTTTCTCGGCTCTCGTGAGCGTACGGCTTGCATATACTACGACATATTCAGGGAATCCGGGTTTTCGCTGCGCCAGGACAGCGCCGAGACCTACACCGCTGGCGTCCGTGTGAACCTCCGTTGGGGCTGTAGGGTCGTAGTGGCGTAGAATGGGAGGCGACGTCAACAAATGGCGGAGCTTCGCGAACGCGTCGTCGCACTCGGATGACCATGAATTGAAGGGCCCGTTACTTCCAAGGAGCTTCGTCAGCGGTGATATGATCGTGGCAAAATTTCGTATGAAGCGTCGGAAGTATGAGCACAGGCCCACGAAACTACGCAGTTCTTTGACAGATGCAGGTTTGGGGAATTCGGCCACGGCCTGAAGCTTGGCAGGATCAGAAAGAATGCCGTCTTTAGACACGACGTACCCCAGTATGGTGAGTTGCCGTGCTGCAAAGCGGCACTTTTTCAGATTTAGTTGCAAGCCGGCATTGCTCACACGTGTGAAAACTTCTTTCAGACGTTGGAGATGCGTGGAGAAATCCGGAGCAAAGACAATGACATCGTCGAGGTAACACAAGCACGTGTACCATTTCGAGTTGCGCAGAACGGTGTCCATCATGCGCTCAAAGGTCGCAGGTGCATTACATAGACCAAACGGCATGACGTTGAACTCGTACAAGCCGTCTGGCGTGACGAAGGCGGTCTTTCGTCGAGCGTCGTCAGCCATGGGTACTTGCCAGTACCCCGAGCGCAGATCGAGAGAAGAAAAGAAATCGGCTCCGTGAAGGCTGTCAATCGCGTCATCGATGCGTGGCAGTGGATAAACATCCTTGCGAGTGATCTTATTGAGCCGTCTGTAGTCCACACAGAACCGCACAGAACCATCTTTCTTCGCAACAAGAACAACAGGAGACGCCCATGGACTGTCCGAGGGCCGAATAACATCGCGTCGGAGCATATCGTCAACCTGATCATTAATTACTCGACGTTCAGCAGGCGACACGCGATATGGACGTTGCCGTAAAGGTGGATGGGCACCATTGTCAATGCGATGCGTAACAACGGACGTGCGACCGAGAGAACTTCGCCCGACATCGAAAGAAGAACGATATTCTTGCAACAGGTCCAGAAGTTGGGAACGCTGTACGGCCGTAAGGTTGTCAGCGATGGAGGGGCCAAATACATCTGCAGATGACGTATCAGAAGTGGAAACAGCATTGATGGTACACGACCTGAGACCGTGCGTGTCATTGGGTACGTCCAGGACTTGTGCGTCGTCGACTGGTTCCACTCTGCCGAGACATTCCCCTCGAAGCAAGGTAACAGCATACGGGGACGGGTTGGTTACAAAAATAGCAGTGTTGCCCTGGTTGACCTGCACGGTCGCGAAAGGTACTAGCAACCCTTTCCTGCTGCAAGCGCGGTCAGATGGCGAAACAAGTCCAATGGTGTCGGAGAGACCAACGCAGTAGACAGACACAGCAGTCGTCGAGTTTGGAGGCACTGTTGTAACGTCTTTCGTTAGAATCGTGCTCATTGTCGGGGGACTGTCTTCTGTCGTCAAATGCGAAAAGGGTGAGAGCTCAATTTCGGCGGCGGCACAATGGATGACGGCGTCATGGCGGGAGAGAAAGTCCCATCCCAGGATGACGTCATGAGAGCATGCCTGAATGATGATGAACTGGGCGACATACAGAACGTCCTGGATGACAACGCGAGCTGTGCACCCTGCTGTAGGATGAATGCGGTGCAAACTTGCAGTACGGAGGGATAACCCAGAAAGTGGCGTCGTCACTTTTCGAAGTAAGCGGCAGAGTTTTTCGTCCATAACTGATACGGCAGCTCCAGTGTCAATAAGAGCCGATGCACAAACACCGTCCACAAGCACGTCAATGACATTCGAGGGGCTGCTCTGAGGGCTTTCACATTGCGATAGCGTCGCAGTCCTTGCCTCGGGGACTGCGACGACTAGTTTTCCCACTCATGAGCTGCCGCACTTGGCCGCATGGGGGACAGGGAACGACGTCGTGGAGACGGCGATCGTCGAGATGGGCCTTGGCGAGATCGAGGTGGCATAGACGGCGGTTCTTCGCGATAAGGACGGCTGAGTTGGCCAGCAACAGGTGAAGAAATTGGAGCCGGCTGTACGCGATGGCAATAACGGGCCACGTGACCCGCGTAACCGCAGGCAAAGCAGATGGGCCGGTTGTCGGGTGTGCGCCATCTGTTCACCGGGGTAGGTCTCACCCATGTCGCAAGGGCTGATGGACGGAACGGTGGCTGCATGGTAGACTGAAGCTGAGGCTGAGGGGTTCCGTCAACATACGTAGCGGGCAAACCCGCTGCAAAGGACGGAGGTCGAGCGGCAGCTTCGGCGTAAGTCAGAGGGGCGGTTGCTGGAACGACTTGGGGCGGCCTGGCGACCACTTGCGCGTAACTCAGGGGCGCAGGAGCCAGAGGCTGTGGGGGGTGGTAAGCAGGCATTACCTCCGCTATTTCCTGTTCAATCGCTCGACGGATGGGAGGGAGAAGGGTAGTAGGCGATTGTTGAACAGTCGGTTGGTGGGCAAAGGGCAGGAGCGAGAACTGACGCGCGATTTCCTCACGGATGAAGGACTTTAGGTCTGCCATCAACGCCACTTGGTCACAACTGGCCTTTAAGCCAGCAAGCGTTGCAGATCGTGGTGGGGAGCATCGGGTCATCGAACGCTGCCGGCGAAGCTCCTCGTAGCTCTGGCACAGTGTGATGACCTCAGCCACTGTGCCGGGGTTTTTGGCGAGCAGCATCGTGAAGGCATCATCGTCAATGCCTTTCATGATGTTCCGGATCTTGTCAGACTCGGACATGGTTGGATCAGATTTGTTGGATAGGTCCAGGACGTCTTCAATATAGCTGGTGAATGACTCACCAGCCTCCTGAGCCCGTTCACGCAAGCACGTCTCGGCTTGCAGCTTGCGAACAGCAGGGCGGCCGAAGACGTTGATGATTGCGGTCTTGAAATCGAACCAGGTGGCAAAATCGGACGCGTGGTTGTTATACCACAAACTGGCGACACCGGCAAGGTAAAACACCAAGTTGGTCAGCTTGCCGTCCTCGTCCCATTTGTTGGGGACGCTCACGCGCTCGTAAATGGCGAGCCAGTCCTCCACGTCAGTGCCATCAGCGCCAGTGAAGATGGGTGGATCGCGGATTCTGGGGACACCGAGACAAGGGGGTGGCATTGGAGGAGGCGTTTGCTGAGAAGCGTCGTGGTACATAGTAGATGGCAGGGTACGTGATCGTAGCTCCAAAGGCATAGACAGAGATCGCAGCACCTCCACCAAATTGTTAAGGCGTTTACTAGCCGGCAACGAGCGAGAATATAAAATGGCGACAGTCACAGCCAAGCACGGGCTCTCAGCGCGAACGGCGTCCTTGTTGGGTAGCCCCACTAGAAGGTACTCAAGAGTTCGACCCATTTCAGCGTTCGGAGGCTTCGCTACAATATATATATATATATATATATATATATATATATATATATATATATATAATGATGGCGGCGGTCACTATAGGCCCTGTATAGAGGGAGTAGGAAGATAATAATTAAAGGTTTGGCAATTTTCCGCTATTTTTAATCGTGAAGAAAGAAGACTCTATAAGGAGGCACGGAAAAGAGAGCACCGCGTCGAGACTAGCGAATGACTACGTCTTCTTGACCTGATTTTTAGGGCGTAAAATGTCCGCTACTTGTACACCGGTGGAGCCATGCATATATGTGCAATGAGCTGACGAACAGACTGCATGCGGGGCGTGAGGCCAGTGAAGAGAACCTTACTACAAATGCGGCATCGTCGACCTTTCGGTACAGCTTCGGCCGCAGCTTGATGCGTCCCAAGTAGTTCACCAAGGAGAAGACGAGCAGGGATGCGAACACGGCGCAAATGCAGCCTCCCATCCACACGTCCAGTGCCTTCATGTACGACACCGGGGGCAGCTCCGAGCGCACGCCTCTGTTCACTGCGCATAAATGAATGACGTCGCACCGAAATACGCTGAACGTCAGAACGTTTCCGGCGAAAGTGCGTCATCGATTCACAGGCCACTTATGTGTTTACAGAATTATTCAGATAAGAATTAAATGCTCGATCACATGCCCTAAAATATCGCCAGTTTATTTACCCGCATAACACAAATTATGATCGAGAAACTAGGTACCATGGCCCCCAAAGCACAGAAGAGAGAAGCATAAAACGTGACAAAGAGAGAGAGAGGGAGAGAAAGAGAGGAAGAAAGAAATAGAAGGAGCGAAAATATGGTAGTGCTTGCACAACGTCACGCAAGGCTTGAAACAGCGCTCTGCACTATTCTGAAATGTAGTCTACATGATTGCTTCTAGCCTATAGGTTGTTGCTGGCTTTACCTATAGGTGATGGTAGGTTGTTTCAAGGTCACTTCTCAGCACAGAGAGGTTCGAGTTGAAAGCAGTCACAGGTAAAACAGGGATGCCCGAACTCCAGGGACCGAAACTCGCGCTAAAAACGAGCATTCCCACAGTTTTGGCTACTGGGTCAACTCCCACGGTTTATTTTCTCAATTGCTGGCTGTGTCTAGAAACCTTGGTGTTTGCCGACCATTTCTGCCTCTATCCTCCTTAATGAGGAAGTGGTGAATAAGGGGGATTATGCTAATGTGTTGGGCACATGCCTGTCCATCATCGTGATAGTTATTTGTACACACCAAAGTTTTTACGGCCAATTTGAACAGTTTCGCTGTGGTTAAAAGAGAGTGAGAGAGAGAGAAAAAAGAAAGAGAGATGGACAGAAAGATAGGAAGGCGGAGAAACAAATACACATAGATGGAAAGAGACAGACGTAGACTAAACAGGAAAATGATATATCTATGGATAGTATAGCAAGAGGTGGAAATAAGATAGAGGTAAGAGGGCAAGAAGGTAGTACCAGCTAGGCTGGCCAAAAGCTCTTCTGTGTCTCATCCTTGCGTGACTTAGTGCGAGCTGTGCTAACTTTTTCTAAGTTACTTGCATGCCATCCGCCTGTCCGCTTCAGTAATAGTAAGTCCTCCTACAACCACGTGCAATGAGAGACGGCGTAGAATCACTCGTCGGAGGCCTATGCCTCCGACGAGTGATTAGTACCTCAAGCTTAAATTACCTCGCGTGCATTTTGATCCAGAGTCGTTATTTCAGGGCAGCATAATTTGCTACTGGTAATTGGCACACCGTTCGTCAAAGCGTCTACTCACTACTTCGATGGTTTTCTGTCGTATGGTCATAGGTTTCTCGAACACAGGTTTTTTTTTCCTTTCATGAGAACTCACAGTGTCCCTTATGCTTCCACTTAAGACCCCGCAAAGGCATTAAAAAGCTTTTTTTTTTCGTATCAGCTTATGTATTAATGATGCCCCGCCACCCTACGAAAGCTTTCTACTCCTAACGTGCTTTTTCAGAGTCTCCAAGATCGGCGGCACCTCACTTGGTTTTACAGTGACTTCATGGACCTTTGACGATGCTAAGATGCGATGTCATGAGTTCATGTGTCGCTGCGTTACGCTATGTCATCATGACATCGCAATTCTGGCTATCTGTGGCTCATAGTGACATGATATGTTGACGTCATCACGTAATAACTTTTTTTTCATCTCATCGTCCCCGAAACCACGGTACGCGAAACACCACCGAAGCCGGACACCGATGATCAAATTTCGAGACTAATAAGAATTAACCGCTTTCGTCTTAATAACATTATAAGCACTCTGTACAGATGGTTAACCAGCGAAGCTGAAACGTGTGGCCACACGTGGTTGCAGACGACGCAGCCGAAGCAAATGTGCCACTTCAGAACTCTCACCAAAATCGGGCTTCGGCCTTGGCGAACGCGTTCCTGCCGTTACAACGTTGTCGCTACTCGTCATACAACGGCGCTTCTTCGGCTCACCGTTGCCACGTGCATTTGCTCCTGCAGGCCGCCTAACACTCTAGACGTAGTTGCTGCTTTCCCTTCACAACCCGGTCGTGTTCATGTGCCAGGACAGCTGCGTCGGCCCGGCGAACATGAATTCTCTCGCGAATCAGATGTCAGCGCTGTTTTTAAAAAGTTGTCTTCAGTTCGGGTGTCCGTGAGTTTTACTTTCCTGAGACGCCTGACGGTTCATACACCCGTGAACCATCACGTGCTGTTTGTTTACATCTCTCCTTTCCTGTCGACCTGCTGGATGGCTTTGCTTGGCTGAGAGGTGACGCACGCGCGCACGGTGAGGGCGGAGCCGAAATACCGCCTTTTCTACACTCTGTTTTTCTTTATCTCCTACATTAATTTCTCACTGCCCATCCCTGTGCCACGCTGTTGAGTTGACCTCCACCGAGAGAGGCAGTTACGGTGCTGCTATTTTCATTTTTCCTTCTTTCAAGGCCACTCCATTGAAACTGCTGCGCGCGTTCTCAGCGGCACGTCTACGAACGGAAGAATGATGTCACTGACGACACTCCCAATGGCGTGTGCGCTTGGGTGCGACGTAGAAAACGACCGAACTGACGGAACAGCCAATGGAGACGTTTATCGTTTCATGTGGCGAACGGTTTTTCATTCCGCCTAACCATATATAGCTGTCGTTGGTAAAAGTACTAAGCGCTACATTTTAAGCTCTCTGTTACATTGCCAGGTGTGAAAGACAATGTTTTTGAGGGCTATTTTGCTTGAGAGGCCATCCTCGTTAAGGAGAACGATATTAATTTTTTCACAGGGGCTACGGAAGTGTTCTGTAAATATAAATCAAGTTCACGGAGAATAAGGGAAATGATCTTGGTCTTCAGATCTTTTAGCTCATTCTTCTACAAGCTGACAATCTTTATGACATTTGTATGCGCGGAGCTAACGCAAAAAGGCTCAAACACATATACTTATAAGCGTATACTGGCCATCGGCATAAAATTTGCGGCGCGCAAGTTCGGGGACTGCGGTGAGAAATGCTCAAACCTCGCTGAAGCAGATTTCTTTGTATGCACATTCAATGCCGTTTTTGAAGGTATTTACTTCACTTTGATTTTGATTGTTATACCGAATGGCTCATACGTTTGTGTGTTTGGTGCATATTCGCTGAAGTTGCTGCGAGCGTACAAAAAACAAAGGAAGTGTTGATTCTTCACAAAAAGCTCCATTCAATAACCGGCTGCAACGTGAATGTCTTCTCTACTCCTTGCAGTAAAACGAAACAGCTCGGATCACGTACACACAAAATGTGAGCATTATTAGAGCGTTAGTGCCTCACGAACTTGCGCTTACGTGCTGCATCTATCTATTCGCTCCTTTTGTTTTCCTTACATGCGCTTCTTTAATTTGTTTTGGTGATTTTAGGGCGCCGGTTCTCCCTAAACTGCCGTGACCTCTAACACTTTAGAAACAGTGGCGAGCACTTTAAATGATTGGCCGCTTCTCCCTCCCTGTTTTTCAGTATACACACACTGAAGAAGGAGCCTTTAAATTCAATTTTTCCCTTTCTTTCGCTCATGTGGAACGAGGAGTAACACATCATTACAGCAGCATCACAATAACAAACCGATCTCTAATCACTTTTAACAAACTGCTCTGAACACTCATGTGCGAGACGTTCAGGCTTTGACACGGGTATGATGAAAATAAGGGTCTTCTTGACGGCTGGTTTCTTATATGAAGAAACTTTGAAGAAGTTCAGCTGATATTTAAGCTAAGGATGGTTTAAGGTACGTTCATTGAACTGTTGTAAGGTTATTGTTATATTTGCGGTGTAAATTTGAATGGATAAAGTCAACGAAAAGATGGCTTGCTGCTGGCGGGGATCGAACATGTGACTTTCATCGTATACGTTCGGTGCCGGCCAGCAGTAAGTTTTCTTTTTGGCTTTCATTCTGATCGAGGCACACTTTTGAATATAACGTGCCTCGTTTTATCACAAGGTAGATCGCCCTAATGAAATTTTTTCAGCTAGTCTGTTTTATTTAGACGAGAGCGCTCTAAGCTCCAGCCTTCGAAACGCACAGAGAGAGTCATAAACGATGTACGCTGCGGGACAGAAAACGAGAACAAGACGCAAACAGGGACAAGCTCAGACTACCGAGTGGAAGTTTACTTTTCAAATAGCACACAAATATCACTGAAGCAGGAAAAGAAAAGTTAGCTGTTGAAAACAATAACGACAAACATTTTGTACACCCGATACACGAAGGAGAATAGTACTCATTGGTCATGTGCGCCTTTTATTATATGAGAGCAATGAATAAAGAAAACGAGCAAACCATCTACTGTACAGCAATATCTATAGCCGCAGTGTATAATTTATCTGTGTATTAGAGCGACCACTACATAAAGTTAGGGGACCATAAGGCTTCGCTTTAGGGGTTGACCATGATAGCGATATCCTGTTCCTAATGCGTACCCCAAACAGTTAGTACATGAAAAATTTTCGGACATGCTATGCACCCACTACGTGCACTACAGAATAGGCGCAGTAGCGTGTGCGCCGTTTGTAGTGGGTGACTGGCTTTAAACTACGGAGCCATTATGATAATCACGGGTTCTGACGCCTGCAGTCAATGGGAACTAGTACCACGCATTTTTATTGCACAATTTCGTGTTGCATTGTGCAGCATGTATACAAGACGAGTGTGTTTGTAAAATATGAATGCTACTTTCGCTGCATTTGTAAGCAGAGGAAATTCTTTTCATTGTATTCACAAGCAGAGGTGTGGCTGAGTGATTGAACATCCGCTTGACACGCAAAAAAACCGTTTTACATCTCCACTCGGACCCAAACAGCCCTGGTTTGGTCCCTGCTCTTACCCAAGATTTTTTCATTTACTTTATTTGCATCGTTCTTGATTCTTTGGTCATGCATAAGATGATCATTTTTCGCTCACAAGCAACGACACAAACGCCGGAATTTCTGCGAAAGGAGTTCTTTAACGCTGTGGCATTAAAACACAAGGCTGCAATAAAATTTGTGAAACCTAGGAAAGTGCACCGCATGGGCACCCAGTGACTCCCATCAGTAGTTCTCCCAATTACGTTTAGCTAAGCAGAAATGAGGCCAACGTTTTGAGTTAAGCGTGTAATATTTACCCGACACGAGAAGAATATTATTAGGCCGGCTCACAAACTTGGTGTGTGAAACGGGCGCTACTTTTTGCGGCCCGTTATCGACTTGTTGCTTGTTACGAAAGTTGCGATATGCGTCGTCTGCACCGAGTTCTGTCAGGTTGTTTCCTCGATCAGGCGTAGTCACCTAGCGGCACGCCGAGGCAGAGGTAGCATAGAGAGAGGGTATGTATGTATGTATGTATGTATGTATGTATGTATGTATGTATGTATGTATGTATGTATGTATGTATGTATGTATGTATGTATGTATGTATGTATGTATGTATGTATGTATGTATGTATGTATGTATGTATGTATGTATGTATGTATGTATGTATGTATGTATGTATGTATGTATGTATGTATGTATGTACAATTGTCTGTTTGTCCCCTCTTAACGATACACCAAATGGCACCAAACGATACTCCAAACGACCGACCACATCCGCAACGCTCACCGATATTGCTCAACCTTTAGCGTTCATACTTCAGCGGTTGTCAATTAAAAACAATTATTGCGCATACCTGAGGTACCAAAACAACAGATCAATATTCTGTATGTGTGTCTTTTTTTCTAAAAATGGCATACTCAAGTAATTCGCTTATCACGCTGCACTGACGATGCAACGCTTGCACAAAAAGGGAAATGTTTCCAACGCTTTGGCGAGACGACACGGTGCTGACACCTATCCGTCGCCTTGCGTTCTACACCTTATCGCCTCCGGGACAGGCACGCACGCCGCGCGCTTCTTTTTCTAAAATAATTGCCAGATAGCGCTCATGTCTCACGCGTGACGTTACTCGATTCGCTCGTCTTCACCTCCGCTGCACGCTCGAGGCACTCTGACGCAGCGCCTCGAGAATACCATTCACCGATTTTTTTGCGCAGAACTTCAAATAAATGTTTTGTTCACTCTCTCCAGACACAAGATCTTTCGACAACATTTGCAGTGTAAAATGCAAATACGGGGACAATATTTTTAGTTACTTCCATCACGTTTTGGTTATTTCTCTTCTGCATATAATTTGAGATTATGTTCCGTCATTTCAAACCAGGTTTGGGCATTGCCAGTTTTGTTATAGCTCGCACTGAGTGCTCTACTGGGAGTGTGGTCGTGCCACATGAGATGGATGGACCACAAACCGAGTACCAAAAGTGTTCCGCACTTAAATAAAGATGGCGCTAGCATCCGTTGGATGAATCAGTTATTTTATTTGTTGCTACCTGACGCACTATGTTGCAGAAAAGAGTTTTCCTGGCTCTTTACCTGAGAGCAGGTTTAGTAGCATGCCGAGATCTAGGAAGAGTCTTCCGGGAGCGTTGGTCCGGGGAAGGTAGAAGGCGAACCAGGAAATGACAACGCTCAGTAGCGTAGGAAAGTACATGTTTATCAGGTAGAAGCCACGCTCACGCGATACGGTGAAGTTGGCTTGCAGTACGCTGTATGTGCCTGCAGAGAGAGAGAGAGAATAAACCTTTTTTTTTTCGGTGAATGCACTGAAAAAAAAAAAGATTAGTTGGGTGGAGCCCTCAGTCCAGGGCTGTATTGCCTTACGCCACCCCGCGAGCTCACTAGATCAGCTGCTGCTGTTTCTGCTCGCATAAGCTAAGCAGTGCAAACTCCCAGGAGGAAAGGGTGGGGTTGGGAATCGGTAGTAACAGCCAGTGGGCTTTGGCAATACCACGTGACGTGGAGGGGTACATTGTTCGTAGGAGTCCACATGAAGGGGTGTTAGGATGGGTATAGAGTTAAATAATAGATTATTTGGGTGGCTACCCATCCGTGGCCGCCTATACGCAATGCAGTCAGAGTGAATGACTTGATTGGGGCTTCCCCCACGTTAAATTTAGGTGGCAGAACGTTCGATGTTTGATTTATGCTACGATATGGGAATGACTTTGATTGAGATGCCAGGGCCTTTAGTAGACCGCGACTCCTTTTCTGATGGCAATGCCTTTACAAGCTTTTTCCCTTCATGACCAATGTTCAGAATGACGTTATCAAAATGTGCTTCTGACTGGGAGTGGTGCATGAGAGACTTAGAGAATAGAATAAAGCATAACGCACCACTATGAAAATTTTGCCCAAAATAAACAGTGTGTATGTTTCCATACCTCCTAATACACTCTAAGAATGTGAGTGTGAGAAAAATACAGGATATGCACGGCGTGAATGGTGATGAGTGGACGAAGCTCCGGAGCCATCTAATGATCACTCATCACAATATGTGCTCCTATGGATGGATGGATGAATGGATGGATATGGCTGTACCCTTTAGATCGGGCGGTGGCTAGCGCCACCAAGCCGTAATACTTAATGAACTCAAAACTACATTTATTTATTTTTTCCTTAAAAAGTGAGTTTGAGGATTCGTACTATGCTGTGAAGAGTTTAATTTTCACTCGTGCCTTGACTTTAGCCACCAATCAGATAACCTTCTTCTAGTTAAGTCTACTTGCTTAAAGTCTATTTTGCCCTCCCGGTCCCTAAACCCCAGTGCTTGGAAAAACTCTGCGCCGTCATCCTGAACTATAGGGTGAAGCCCTTTACAGAACATTATCAAGTGTTCGGCAGTTTCTTCTTCCTCTCCACACGCACTGCATACTGTGTCTACCCCTTTGTATTTGGCCCGATATGTCTTGGTTCGCAGTACTCCCGTCCTTGCCTCAAACAGTAGAGAACTACCCCGAGTATTATCATACATCCTTTCCTTGGCAATTTCCTGCTTAAACGTTCGATAGATCTCTAGTGCGGACTTCTTAATCATGCCCATTTTCCACATGTCAGTCTCCGTTTCCTTCGCTTTCTTCTTAACCGATAGTTCTTTTTGGTTTGGCCACCTGCTGTTTTCTAAGTATTTACCAGTCAACTTCTTGGTCCGCTTCCTCCATTTTGTATCGACATTCTTCATGTACAAGTAGCTGAAAACCTTCCTAGCCCAACGCTCCTCCTTCATTTCTCTCAATCGCTTCTCAAATTTTATCTTGCTGCTAGCTTCCCTGCCCTCAAATGATGTCCATCCCATATCACCTTGTACTCCCTGATTTGGTGTATTCCCGTGAGCTCCTAAAGCAAGCCTACCTATTCCACGTTGCTTAATTTCTAATCTTGCTTGAACTTCTGATCTCATGCACAAGACCGCATTGCCGAACGTCAGCCCAGGAACCATGACCTCTTTCCATATTCCTCTCACAACATCATACCTATTCTAATTCCACAGTACCCTGTTTTTCATTACCGCTGCATTCCTGTTACCTTTAGTCGTCACGTATATTTCGTGTTCCCTCAGGTAATCAGCCCCATTGCTTATCCATACGCCCAGATGTTTGTATTTATCTGTTATCTCTAGCGTGGCCTCCTGTATTCTAAGCTCACTACCTTTAATGTGATTAAAAATCATGACTGCTGATTTTTCTTTACTGAATCTGAAATCTAACCTATCTTCCTCATTACCGCAGATGTCCACCAATCTCTGCAAATCTTCCTTGTTATCCGCCTTTAGCACTATATCATCTGCGTGCATCAATGCTGGTAGTGCCTGTTCAATGAGTTTTCCTTCTTTGACGAAATAAAGGTTGAAGCCCAGTCCACTTCCCTCTAATTTGGCCTCTAATCCTTGTAGGTACCTCATGAATAATAAGTGTGACAGGGGACACCCCTGCCTAAGCCCCCGTTTGACCTCTGCAGGCTTGGATACCTGTTTTTCTCACTTTATAACTACCTTGTTACCTTTATAGATACCCTTTAAAAGATTAGTGACTACATGTTTCACGCCTAGTGTGTCCAGTATTCCCCACAATTCCTCTTGAACCACGCTATCGTACGCTCCCTTGATATCCAAGAATGCTAGCCACAGGGGCCTGTGTTCCTTTTTTGCTATTTCGATGCACTGCGTCAGTGAGAACAGATTGTCTTCCAACCTCCTGTGTTTCCGAAACCCATTCTGCAGTTCCCCCAGCACCCCCTCATCTTCTATCCATGCCTGCAGTCTTTCCTTTATAATCTGCATCGCCAGCCTCTAGACCACTGATGTCACTGTTATAGGACGGTAGTTGTTTATGTCAGCTTTGTCCCCCTTTCCTTTATAGATCATGCTCATCCTGCTAAGTTTCCATCCATCGGGAACTTCACCATCGATTATTATTTTGCTTACTGCCTCTCTCAAAGCTGCTTAGACTTCGGACCTAATGTCTTTATCAGCCTAACTGGAATGCCATCTGGGCCTGTTGATGTACTACTACGAACACTTTTCTCACCCTTTTCCCACTCTCGTTGTGAAAATGGAGCCATTGCACCACTTGATTCGTCCTTGTCTATTGTGGTGCATAAAGTACTTCTTTGTTGAAATTTTTCTGTCACCCTTGCTCTTATATATTCAATAGCTTCGTCCCCTTCTAGCCTAGCACCTTGAGCTGTAGTTATAAACCTCTGCTCTACGCTCGTCTCCTTTCTTAGGGAGTTTAGATGGTTCCAAAACTTCGCAGCTGCCTTTCTATCTTTTTCATGTACTTCTGCCAGCCACTGAGCTCCCTTTCTTCTAATCTTTTCATTGATCAGAAGGGATACAACCCTTCTACAGCTTAGAAAGGTTTCCCATTTTCTTTCAACATCATCTGTCGGTTCGCCCCGCTGCTTAGCATGTCTGTGTTCCCTAAAGGCTTCCTGACGTTTTGCTATGGCTCTCTTAACTTCCTCATCCCACCAACTTTTGGGTTTGTGTCTTCTTTTCCGGGGTGACTTGTTACGCGTCTTAGAAAGCTCTAGCTCAAAGAGTCAAATTAGATTCATGTGTGTCCACACTGTCTTATTATCCTCCGTGATTACTTTCTCAATTTGTTTAGTGGCTATTTCAATTTGCCTTTCTGAATAAAAGTTTTCCTGTAGTTGCTCATCTTGTCTCCTTCCCACTTTCACTGCTCTTCCAAAACTTGCTTGATACGTTTGTGATCACTACCCAGACTTTTGCAGCCCTCTTCATCTATGTGCATTCCCCTGAGCTTATCATACATCCTATCTGACATCAGTGCATAATCTATCGTCTACTGCAGCCTTCCTACCTCCCATGTTATTTGCCCTGCACACTTCTCGGTACTGTTGCAAATGATCAAATCAAGCCTTTCACACATATCCATGATCATTTTGCCTGTCGGGTCAGTATACCCATCTATATCTTCTATGTGCGCATTCATGTCTCCTAGTATAATTATCTCGCACTCTCTTTCTAACTCCTGAATGTCCTTTGATATACACTCTACCATTGCCTGGTTTTCCTCTCTGGCCTTTGCTCCCGTCCACAAGCACACGAAACCAAGGAGTGTCATTTGACCTGCCACTTTCCCTTTTAGCCATAAATGTTCCTTGCACTCCTGCTTGACCCTTTGCCAGTCTGTACTTTTATGAATGAATGCCCCAATACCACCCCCCTTTTTGCTGCCTTCTGTTCTATTACAATATTCCCACGCGTAGTCTGGATTGTTCGGAGGTTGTTCCATGTGTCTCAGGTGTGTTTCTACAAAACCGTATACCATCGGCCTCTCTTCCCTTAGCTGTTCTTCTATCTCTTCCCACTTCAGCCTGTTCCTACCACCTTGCATGTTAATATACCCTATGTCTGAATGGGCTCGGCGCTCGTGGCTACGTCTATTTATGCCCCGGACTCTACCTATCTTAGACATTGGTTCCACTTTGGAATCGTATCTGTCCATAACACCTGTCGAAGAGTCTCCCTGGTTGTTTTCCTCGTTACTAGCTATCCTGCACCCCGAAGGGCTCGCTTGCCCCCCAAAAAAGCTACTGCGCGTCCTGCAAGTCGCCAACCCACCTCATGACCTAGCCGCCCATCGAAGTGAATTCTGTCTCGTTGAAAACCCCCCCACCTATGCACCTCTCTGTTTATTTCCACCACCTCAAAGCGTTTCTCTCGACTCATCCACCATATCTTTTGGTTTGCGTTGACCACCGCTCTTTGCAGGTTGCTATCACACACCGGTACCTCCGGTATCGTGCATATCACTACCTGTACCTTAGGAGAAGGGGCGCGCATGTCATCGACGCCTTTCGCCAGTGTGGCTGCTAGTCCTGCTGTATCTTCATTTAAGACATCGTTTAAACCGCCCGAAATTATCACGAGGTTTTGTCTATCAGCTGTAGTTTTGAGTTTTGCGCTCGGTTGCCTCATGACTGCTTCAAGCTTGCGTCCTGGGAACGCCCCTACTGCAACCCTCTTGTCACCTCTTACCCTCTCTTTGATGGCTTCGGTGCATCGATTTAAATTCGAGTCCCCGGCGATTATCACATGCTGTGACTTTTCAGCTGGAGCGTCCTGCACCTGGGGGCTACTTGCACCTGTGACGCCGGCTGCTTTGCCCCTCCCAGCCCCACCACTACCTCGCTGAAGCTGGGCCTTGCGACAGTTGAACCGGCTAAACCTGTTTTTTTCCAAACTTGCT